CAACTATGAAAGAGACACCCAAGAGGACTAGCGGGAAGCTCTCTACTTATTAGTCCACAGGTATAGAAACAAAACAAGGGAACCCCAGCATGACAAGAGTGATCTGGTGCTGGTTCCGAGCCACCCTGTGCCTTGGGACATATTATCTAATTTCATCACTAGTTGAGTTCTGAGCTCCTCATTGCAAGGTTAGGTTCATTCCATTTTATGGATGAAGAAACTGAGGTATAATACAGAGTGCAGAGAAGGAACAACAAAAGCTGTGGTCATTGTGTCACTCTGATATACTAGCTCTTGGGGGTGGGGAGAGAAAGGGAATCATATGGACTGAACTCAGGGACTTTGCACCAAGCTATATCCGCAGACACTTTTTTCCTATTTTATTCTGTGACACTTTTGCTAGGTCATGCAGCTGGGCTCTGATTTGCAGTGCTCTTGCTTCGGGCCTCCCTCTGTGCCCAGCTCTACATCAGTTCTTCTAGTCATCCCGGAAAGGGAGCTCTGACCAGGGAAGCAAGATGAAGCGCTTCACCCAATTTCAGGAACCCAAACCTGAAGCCATTTCCTACTTATCTCTATGAAATACCACTTCCTTTCTAATGCTGGCGGGAGTTCTGGAATGAACTGTGGGGAAGCTTGAACATGGCATAATGCATAACACTTTTTATTCAAAACCACAGTACTTCGTAGGATCTCTCTCCATATATAACTTAGACACTGCAGGAATAAAGACAAAAAGCCAACAACAATAACCCAAGCTAACGAAGCTGTGTATCACTGACATGAAGATGGCTGGCGAGGATGGAAGGGGAGAAGACAAGGCAACCAATGATAAATCTACAAGCACATACTCAAATAAAGATCTCTCAGAGCTGTGTTGGGCTGTATGCTGAATATGAAATATGCAAAACTGTCCCAATAATACTTAAGTTTTCTTATAAGCTCAAGGAAAAAAGCAATGAAGGGGATTCAAAGCATTGAAGGAAATCTTCAGAAACGCAAAGACTCCATTCCACACAAGCAGAGCTCAAGCTGAGCACCAGTCGTGGTAGACCTGCTGTGCATGAGGATCTTCAAATTCAGAAATACTTCTCAAGAAGGAAGCACGAGGCAGCTGGAGAATTGCAGCACAGTGGGTCGACAGCTGTGAACCAAGAGAACAGAGAAGGAGGGGGAGTCTTGTTCCGTTTGCTGGTTAGAACATCCAATTCTGTTACCCAGGCAAAATGAATCACACTGAGATAGAGCAACCAAAATATACAACAGATTTGAAACAAGACAAAATGAGATACAATGGAGTACTACACCATCATAAAGAAGAATAAGCTGGAGTCAACTGTAGGAAAATGGATGTACCTTGAGACCATAATGTTAAATGAAATCAATCAGGCACACCAGATTAGGTATCATATGATTTTTGCTATATGAAAAACCCAAAATATAAATCAATAACAGAGCAACATAAAAGATAATAGGAAACATGAGGGAATATTTAATGATGAAGACCCAATGCTAGAATTGCTGTCTTCCATTACCCAAAGGGCTCCTACATAGAAAAGGGGTGAGCTTTGCTTTGCACAGCGTTAGGGAGCAGAACAGAACCAAGACCCTCAGAAGAGAAAGCTTTCGGAGTGACTTTAAGAAAGAATCTGATTGTCCAGTCCAACAGTGGGACAGTTACTTCCTGTCTGGAGAAGATGAAGGAGGGCTCTGTATTTAGAAATCCTTTGGCCAAGGAGAAGGTGCAAGCAACCAAGTCAACAGGAATAGAATAACCTGGAGATCCTTCTGACTTTCATAGTCTTTCAGTTCTTGAATAACCTGGATTCACAAGAAGAAACTAGACAAAAGAAATGCATACAGTCCCCACATAAGTATGCTACTTCCTACACAGGGATTGCCTGGTCTAATTCCACTACCACCATGTCCAAAGTATGTCTGATCTGCTTTCTTCCCTTTCACTGGAGCAGAATTACTGATTTTATTATCCTAGGTAATTCCGTGTGATTTAAACTCATGTCAGGTGGATTAAATCACTCTTTAGTAGAGTGGAAAATCTAAAGGAAAAGACAGAACTCCTGGACTGGCAAGATAGCTCAGCAGACTAAGCACTGCTTTGGCAAGCACAGGGACCACGGTTCTGTCCCCAATCCCGCATGCCACACCGGCCCCAACCCTAAGGTACACTGAGCCTGTGACCAAGTCTGGGCCTGGTGACACATGCTTGTAATCCCATCACTGAGAAGGCTGAAAACTGGAAGACCACTGCGAGTCTGAGCTGCATAGTGAGACCCTGTACCAAATACATAAATGAAAAAAACAAAAGGCAGAACTGCTACACTCTGATCAGTTGAAGAAGTAGTGTAGGCTTTAAGAGCTATTGAGGAACTGTCTTATCAGGCACCGCCTCCCACAGCCACCTGTGTGTGAAGCTCTTCCATATCTTCCTCAGCTGAATAGTTGCCAGCAGCCTGTTTGAATGCAGTCTTCCCAACCTATCTGACTATTGGCCACACCAATGGAGCTCAAGAATGATGACACAGAGACAAAGAAATAGAAAATAGCACCTTCACTAAAATATCAGGGTACGGTGACAGACTTAAAATTAATCAGGATTTCTGAAAGTTAGAGTTTACCGTAAATTATAAAAATACCACCTCCAGGTCGAGGGTCAGAGTTTAAGAGTGGACGAGACAGTTCGGAAGCACCGATGCATGAAGTGATGTAGCTGAGGCTGTTTCCTGCTCTGCCGTGTTGTGCATATATGTGTGAGCCTTACAGTACAGACTGATGAGGTAGAGGAATACGGTCAGGAGAAATAAAAAGGTGAAGCCTTTTTATGAGGAATTGTAGAATATTATGGAGCTTTGGGAGGGGCTGGCTTTTGGTGTGTATTTTGAACTCCTGGCATGATGTAAACTGGAATGGATTTGAAGGAATGCAAAGCTAGCAAAGGTAGAAGAAAAGAGAAAGAGATCATTAAAGAATTGATCCCTGAATACAAAATAGGAAAGCCACTATGCAGATTCCTCAAAAACTGAAAATAGAAATTCCAATTGATCCAGCCATACACCTCTTGGGCATGTTCCCAAAATAGTTAAAGACATAATACTCTATGGGTGCATACAGCAAGCAGTACAGCTTATAATAGCTAAGATCTGAAAACACCCAACAGATGAAAGGATAAAGGAGAAGTGGTAAATATGCCCAACTGAATGCCACTTAGTCATAAAAAGGAATGAAACCATGCCATTTTCAGGAAAACATGGAAGTTGAAACAGTAACATTAAGTGAAATCAGACACAGAAGGTTTAATACATAACATGGTTTCTCTTATATGAGGAAACTAAAATATAAATGCATAAAAGTTAAACAAAGGAAAGATGGTAGGAAACAAAAAGAACTGATCCCCAATTCCCTGATTGAACAGAGGGAACAAAGGGGCTCAGACAAGGAGGAAGACAGAGTTCAGGGATGAAGGAGGGAAGATGAGAGTGGGAAGGGAAATTTAGGCATCAAACGACATAAAGCAGAATTTATAGGGAGGCCCAAGACCCTTCCAAGGCAATCTTAGATTCTCCAAATGTGATAAGAGGCAGAGATAAGGGTAAACACAGAAGGGAAGGAGAAGGGAACAAAATCTGAACAGAAAGATAAAAGAAATCTGGCCCCCTCCCCCTGATTCCTTTATATCTTCATTTTCTGACCAGTCCACATCTCAAAGCAGTGCAGTTAAAAGTATCTTCCTGGCTCCCAAAGATGGTCAGTTTACTGGAAAAATTCTAAGCCACCGGTTGTTGGTTAGAACACCTCCTATATGTCCAAATATGCTATAGAAATAGAATCAAACTATCAAGACAAGGCCCTGCTTTAAGCTGTTGCCTAGTAATCTGAATTACTATCCATTAGTTAGCAATTGCTTGCTCACTAATATTGTGGGGT